CTGCTCATCAGCAAAGGCCTCTCATTGGTCCGCTGCTCATCAGCAAAGGCCTCTCATTGGTCCGCTGCTCATCAGCAAAGGCCTCTCATTGGTCCACTGCTCATCAGCAAAGGCCTCTCATTGGTCCACTGCTCATCAGCAAAGGCCTCTCATTGGTCCACCACAGTTTTGTTTGTTTTTTAAATTATTCTTTTCAACCACAATTCAAAGCAACGTCTTATTTCACCAAATTATAATTTAGCACATTTTTATTTCTTATTACTTTTTCCAGTTTCCAGTTATCTGAGGGACTGCTGTGGGTTTTGTCTTTTCTCTAATGGGAGGAGATGAATACATCTGAGGACGGCTGTAAAAGTCTTTTTATGCTTTTATCCTTTTTGCACCACCAGAGGAGTAAAACTTTAATGGGGCAACGATGGTCAAGGCGTTCTGTTTTATTTATTCTGATAATATTTGGAGCCATTACTTTAAGACTTCTTGCAGTTAAACAGATGAAAAACAAACAGGTGTGAGTTCTTTCTGTCTTTCTAATCGAGCGTTGAGCACTACACCTACTGAGTGTTTCCTTGTCCTCTGGTGTCTCCTCTGTTGGCAGACACGTGTTACGTGCTGTCCTTCGCTATCATCATGCTGAACACGAGCCTCCACAACCCCAACGTGAGGGACAAGCCCGGCGTGGACCGCTTCATCTCCATGAACCGGGGCATCAACGAGGGCGGCGACCTGCCGGAGGAGCTGCTCAGAGTACGACCGGCTCCGCCCCGCCGCTCTTCGCTCTCCTCTGCTGGTGCTTTTGCTTACTGTTGTTTCCGTCTTCATCCCCCAGAACCTGTACGAGAGCATCAAAAACGAGCCCTTCAAGATCCCCGAGGACGACGGCAACGACCTGACGCACACCTTCTTCAACCCCGACAGAGAGGGCTGGCTGCTGAAGCTGGGTGAGACGAAGCCGCTCTGCTTCTTCTTCATCGTCTTGTTTACCGTGACGAGTTCCTCTGAGGCTTAGTGCTGTGGTGAAACCTCCGGTCTCTGAGGTTTGCTGCCTCTCTGCCTCCACTCGAGTCGTCGGCGTCCGAACGCGAGCGCCGCCACCGTGAACACCTTCTGATCTGATCGTGTGATTGTGTTCCTCTGCATGGCGGGGCCTGAGATCTGTGTCACTAATATGAACTCTCTCCTTCTCTTCCTCCTCCATGTTTCTCTGTCTGTCTCTAAATCCTCTGGTTCCTCTTGTCTCTGCTTCTCGCTGCGATTTCCGTCCTCTACTGCCGCTGCTTGTTTTCTCAGGAGGTATGTACTGACGGAGTCGTCGCATTCAAACACTGTAGAGGAGATCTAGTCTGGTAGTTTGCTGTAAACTGTAGACCGTAGAGTCGTGTGTGGGGTGCACCATGGTTGAGTTTGGCAGATATTTTCTGAAGCTTTTGTTGCACATGTAGCTGCACAGATTTATCAATAATATAATAATCACAAAGAACGTGGTGTCTCTCCTGCAGGGGGACGAACGTTTTATATTTTATATACGTGTGTGTGTGTGTCTAAACATTATAATATAAATATAGTATAATAATAATAATTATCTCCATTATTATAATAGCTGTAGGGTTTCTCACTCTTTTTTTATATTCATATAATTAAATAAATCATCTTTCAGTTCCATTTTTAGCTTCATGGTTTGTTGCTTTTGATTTTTGAGTTTTATTGTTGTGTTTATGGTTTGATTACTGTTGGAGGCACAAACATATCATTTATAATAAAATGCATTAATACTCTATATGCTGTATTGCTGTATTTAGTGCAGCACTTAAATGTACTTAGTTACTTCTGTATTCTCTACAGTCTCTTCAAATGTGTCCGTCTACGAGTAGAAAACAAGAAAACTTAAACTCCTTAAACAGTCCCATGTTTATTTTTATTGAGCGTCTTCAGCCTGAACGGGACGTTTGTCAGCGTTCACTTTTCCCATATTTATTGTTAACGATACGACGTCATCGTGCGTCCCTCGTAGTTTCCCGTGAACTCGCCTCGCTCATCGTCGCCGCTGTTTCTGTGTTTCAGGAGGACGAGTGAAAACCTGGAAGCGCCGATGGTTCATCCTCACGGATAACTGCCTTTACTACTTTGAGTACACCACAGTAAGTGTTCCTGGAGGGGATGAGAAACTCGCTGTCTGTGGATCTCTGTCATGCTCACTGATAGTTTTGGATGTTTTTGCTTTTTTGTGGAAATGTCTGTTGGAGCTGAAAACAGTTATTCTGTCAAGATGGATGGATGGATGGATGGATGGATAGATAGATAGATATGGGCAATGAAATTGTCTGGTTTGCACACTCCCATATAGATAAAAGTAAAAACAGTAGGAGTCAGACAAGCTAACACGTATCACCAGAGCCTGACAAAAGCCAAACACTGACTCCGGTTTGTTTGCTAACAGGGCGTCTGTTAGCGGTTCAGCTAACAGTCAGCGTTGGGTTCTTAGTGCATTTCTCACCTGGTTGCATGTTTCTGCCGCAACCAATGAAACTGTCAATAAAAGCCTAAATGTTGCACCAACAGGATAAGGAACCTCGAGGCATCATTCCTTTGGAAAACCTGAGCATCCGCGAGGTCGAGGACCCCAGGAAGCCCGTAAGCATGCACACTTATTCTTTATTCAGATGTACGCCTGGAGAAAACTGAGAGAGAAAGAAAAACCCACAGAGTAACTGACAAAAGTAATAATAAAGAAGGATGTTCTGAAAGTTAAGTCCTGAAATCAGACGTTGCTTTTGAGTTGTGAGTCATTTTTAAAACACAAGTGACTGAAACTGGACAGAAATGATGTCACTCCTAGAAAACTGTCAGCAGCATCACAGGCGTCGACACGCTGACGGAAGTTTCTTTATCTCTCTGCCGTCAGAACTGCTTCGAGCTCTACATCCCCAACAACCGCGGCCAGCTGATCAAGGCCTGTAAGACGGAGGCCGACGGGAGGGTGGTGGAGGGAAACCACATGGTTTACCGGATCTCTGCTCCCACACCTGAGGAGAAGGACGAGTGGATCCACAGCATCAAGTAGGTTCAAAAAAAAGAGTTCAGATCAGCAGGTCATCTCCAGAATATAAAGGGACACAGCTGCTTCACTCGCTCCTGCTTTAAACCACTCAGCTGGTGAATAGAAATAAAAAGGCGCCACCTGCTGGTCAGAGGTGTGAAACTGAATATTTCACCTGCAGAGAAAAGTCGACGATGTGACGCTTCAAAATTAGTCTCTTAGTTTAAACTTTTCACGTTTGTGTTGTTGCTTCAGAATTAGAGTTTAGTCACATATCCACAAAAAATGGACTCAATATTCAGACTTTATCTTCCTGTGTTTGTGCTCGTGGTTGGACTCCAGCCTCCTGATCTGTCATGTAGAGCATCTGACCATGCAGCGATCTGTCAGCTGCTCTGTGTATCGGGGATTAGACCTCTGATCCAGGTTTGAAAGAGAACCAACAATGGCACCAGTTCTCAGAGACTGTCGAAACAGGAGGGCCGATGTCGGATTTTTACACAGTCCTTGAACGCATCATGTGTAAATGTGAAGTTAAAAAACACCTAAAACTGAGCTTAAAGTCATGATGTTTAATCAGAGTTGCTTCATTTTATCGTCTTATTTAAAGTTTCTCCAAAAACATCAAGAGTTTGCAGCAGATCCTGTGATAAGCTACAAATCCAGAGAGTTTCAGGTGAACTGCTCCAGTGTTTCCTCAGAGAGACTGAGAGGAACCTCCAACCTGCTGGATCCATGTGCTTTTATTATTGTTCACAAAACTAATTCTAAAGCAACACGAGCATTTAAACATTTACATTCAGAGCCGGTGATCTATCTGTGAAGCAGTCAGGATCATGAACACAGAACCAGAAGCAGACCAGAGCTGTTGCTAACTGTCTAAATCGTGCACAGCCTTTTATTTCCTGTAACGTTCCTGTCGTCTGCTCAGGTCTGCCGTCAGCGTCGACCCTTTCTACGAGATGCTCGCCGCCAGGAAGAAGCGTATATCGCTGAAGAAGAAGGAGGAGCAGCCGTAGATCTGCCTTGGTTCTCCTTCCTGTCTTCCTTTGTTCCTGCTCCTCAACTACCTGTTCAGAAGTTTCGTTAACCCTCCCGCTGTGAGGACTTCCTGCTGTCCCGTGGACCAGACCTTCTGGTTCTGTTAAACACTACGTCGGTCCGGCTTCCCGACTCTGCCGCTCGGCCTCCAGGTGGAGAGCATCCGGCCACGTTCACACCAGTGCTGATGGTTTCTGTGGGTTTCCTGTTCGGACGTTTGGTTCACACGTCGTATCGAAGGATCTGAAAACGCTGACCGTCGTGATTTCAGATGACTGATTCATTTATACAGCACATTAAGTAAAATGTACAGAAAAATAGTAAAACACAGCGACTAAGGAAAAATAAAACGAGCAAAACTCAGACACGATGACAGAAATCAGAGAATCAGGCGCCAACGAAATGAGTCTTCAGCAGCAGCTTCACAAGTCTGAGCAGCTCTCAAACGGAAAAGACTCGAACACATTTATGTTTTAACCTGAAGCTGATTTAAAAAGAAACGGCCAATAGTGACCACAGAAATAAGTTCTGACCAGCAAACCTTAAAATCACACGACTGTCGCTCACGCGGTGTCCGACGTTCAGCATCTGTCTGATCATCTGTGTCGCTTCTTTATTTTAGTGACGAGGTTACAGATGAAATAAACTGATTGCGCTGCTTTAGCAGAGAGACGTGCTGCTCATGTACAACATTTAATCCATTATCAGTCCTTCTTGATCACCAGTAATCCAGCTCGACCCTGAAACAAGCACCTCGCTCGATGTTCATCACCAGCACGCTTTAACAACTTATTCTAACTTTCCCAGCTTCCAAGGACAAAGTTGTTGTTTTTCTGTATCTGTAGCTCGGCTGGTTTAGTTTTTAGCTCCTTGTTCTCCGTTTATTACAGTTAATGAAGCTTAAAGCGCCAACTTCCTGCTTTACTCGCTGCAAAGACATTCATTCATACATTTTTGCAGCATTTCAAACCTTCACTTTAAATGAACTTGCATGGAAACGGCTCGCTTTAGCCGCGTAGAAACCCTGAAAGGAAGAAAAAGTCACTAAAGAGAAACACTACAGGCTGCTGAATTCATGTCCTCGCGCCTCAGAGAAGAAAACTCGTATTTCATCTGCGTTTTAGCTTCAGTTTAGGACCGTGAACTTTCAGAACGTGAGCTTTATCTGCACTGGTGTGAGCCTGGTCCTGGATGTTCTGGGCAGCAGGAGCTTCAGCTGTCGGGAAGCCCAACTTTACACTAGATGTTAGCAGGTTTTCCACTGCAGGAGCTTGTTTTCTCTGAGCGGGTTCAGGCTGCATCAAACACTTTTAAGGGCCATTTTCAGGCAAGAAAAATTGACCTAAAGGTACATTTGGAGACGACAAAAAGTGTTTCTGTCCTCGTCTGGTTGCAGTTTTCGTCTTGAACCTCCTCCAATAACCTAAAGCCTCCGTTGTTCTGGTTCCTCTTTGTTTTGCTGCACTTTGATTTAAGGGAAACAGAAGAAGTGAGATCAGGCTCCTGCAGTGGAAAAACTCAGAAATCACAGCGTTTCTTTCTTGATTGTGCCGAAAAAAATGTGAATTCAGTATTGAGACACTGGTTAAGGGTTTTAGATTGACTGCTGAGGTTCTGTGAGGGGAAACCTCATCACTGTATATTTACTGACGTTTTTATCGCCAAGTGACTGTTGGTGTTGGAGGCGGGGCGTTGGCAGCTTCGTGTCTCGGCTCACGAGACCACGTTTCCTTCAGCATGTTTCCGAACATGTCCGAGCAATAGCAGAAGTAGAAAACTAGTCGGGAGGCTTGTTAACGAATCCTTTATGACACTAATACTGAGCAGTCGCCGCCGCCGCCGCCGTCATGTCCTCTCAGATGTACGCATGCCACAGTTCATCCCCTTCCTGCCGCACCTGTCTCACCTGTCAGAGCCGGTACCGTGAAATCACAAAGGCAGCTCATCACGATGTACACTTTCTGTAAATAGACGTTAGCATATTTGTTTACGACACACATAGAAATGATTTAATTTATTCTTTATCTTTTGTTAAGATCTGATTTTTGTACGAGCTACTGTATTACTGCATGTGGACGAACGGAGGCCGATCATGCTAGTGCACTGATTCCACGGCGTTAGTGTTCTTTGTTGACTTAGAGAAATTGCATTTAACACGGAAGCTGAATGATCCTGTTCGATTGTAGGCTCTTTATGTTCTCTCCTTAGTTTTTCTCTCTTGAATCTGACTCGGTAAAGCACAAAGCGGAGCTCAGTGATTGGCTGTGAAGAAGCTGCAATTTTCCACGACGGCGAAACAAGGAACACTAACCGACGTCATTATGTTATAGTCAGAATATTCAGATGTAATGGATCAGTTTAGACTTGTGTCCAGTGATAGACTTTTTTGCTTGACAGTTCATGAACTAGTAGTTTAATGGATTGGATTTTAGATGGTAGGAAGAAGAACCGTCTACTGCACTTTATCAATTCTAGCATTTTGGAGAAAATGCTGTTACTCTGACTGACGACACTCTGAGGCCAGTGTTGGACTCACAGCGTCTGCGGGGACGCGGAGGTCTGCGAGGCGTACATTTTGTCCTCTACATGTTACCCAACAGCGCCCACGCATGGAAGACGTATGCTACTGCACATGAGCGCAACAGAGTCCTTCAAGCTAGCTAGACAGTGACGGGATCGATGTTGGTGCAACAACGTCGTAGCACGATAGAGGAAACCAGTTCAAGCTACACCCTCCTACAACAGATACTGGCTGCACCCGGTCGGACCGACGCTTCATCTGTAGACGTTCAACCCGGACCAACATGGCCACTCCTTCTGAAACAGTTCCCTGAATCGTGTCTCTGACAGAACGTGAGGCGAAATCGGCCGAACTTCTCTTTACATCGACGGCAGTTAGCTTTTTCTGAGTTTCCAGAGGTCGTGCAGAGAACTGTGGACACAAACTATAAGACCGGTTGCGCTTTCCATGGTGTCCACCAGCACACCAGAGTCCATGTTGGTCATGAAAGAGACGTAGATGAGTCCATGAGGCGAACTAGTAGAGTATTAATGTTTTTAGACACGAATGGAGTCAAAACTAGTTCCAACTTCTTTACATCTATAGAAACATTCACCTGGAGGGAGATTTCAAAGGAGGAGCGTTGAGCAGGACGCCCTTCGTTAAGCTTAAATGTCGACTTCCTGCTAATGAGAAGCCTTCAGTGTGACGCTCCGCCTCTTAAAGCGCGACTCGCTGCTGCCAGAATGCATCGCACGGCTTCTTACGTATATATTTGATGGGACGCAAACTGTAAGACCGACTGGACTTCCCACGGCGTCCACGAGTGTGCATGACGTAAACTTTGTCACAGTTCACAAAAGCGAAGCTGTAGATGTGACCTACTGGCCATTAATGGAACTGCATGTCTAATCGACTATTAAAATGTATGGTTTCTGTTTGACCGAGGAAGACTGAAGGAGTGGTTCTGGTCGCGGTTCTAGGTACATGTTGGTCAGTCACTCTGTGGATGGAGCTCAGTGGGCCGACACAGCGCCGGACATGTGGAGGTTTTAGAGCTTCTCATTGTGTCTGGGCTCCATGGAAAGCAGTCGAAGGTCTTCCAGAGTCGACTTTGAAGATGCTTTAATTAGAGAAAAACACTCGGTGGACGTTTCTGAAGGCCTGTGACAGTAGCTCCATGTGAGGGATTGTTTCTGAGGGGATCTCTGGAGGTTTCAGAGCTGGACTCATGGAAAGCAGTCGAAGCTCTTCCAGAGTCCTGCAGCTTCACTTCCAGCTGATCAGTGATGACTCAGAACTCGTTAGATGATGAAGAACCTCCCCGTCTCTCCTCAGAATAACTTTCCTGCCACGTGTGCCGTCGACTCGCTCGTAGAAATTGTGGATGATGAAGTGTACGCCTCGCAGACCCGCAGAGAGCATGACTTTACACTCTTTAGCGCCGTCTAGTGGTAGTGTCTCACACTGCAATACGCTGAAGGATGTAAGGACACAGCAGCGCCACCTCCTGGTCGGTTGCAGCAGGTTCTCGCCGCCGCGTCCAGACAGATCTGGAGTCGCCTTCTCTCTCCCACGTCTTCATCAGACCCACCGGACTCTACTTCCACGTTTGTGCTTCTGTCTGTAGGCCTTCACTTTCTGGGGATTCTTGAAGTGCAAAGTTGCCAAAAATAACTCTAATTTTATCCATTGAAACACGAGAAGAACACTAAAGCGACCCGACTCCTCTCTCCCCAGAGCCGCCACCTCCTTCAGAAGATGTCTTTATTTTGTATTTATTTATTTTTGTTGGCTGTGAGGTGATGACGGATGAATCATCTGTAAATGTAGCAACAGGAAAACCACGTCGGTGCCAGTAAACTGCTGTGTAACAATAAACGGTAAACAGAGCGCCGGCTGCTGCCTCTTTATTCCACCAGAACACGTGTTCGGATCAAAGCTGGAGGGCAGAACCTGGACCTGCTGCAGCTCTTCTGTGAGTATCAAAGGTTCAAATTAAGTTTCTACTTTAAATTAGAACGTGTGTCTGTGAATGTTGATGAAGTTTAAAGCCGTCCAGTATTAACATGTCCCAGCTCTACTGAACAGTTTCTATTATTACTGAGTTACTGGATCACATTTAGAGCTTTCAGTGAAATAACAACCGCGAGGCCGACATGAGTTTATTATGTCGAGTGAAATCATCAGAACTAACGAGTTCAACAAATTAAAATGAAGAAATGAAACCAAATAAGTGAAGCAAGCAGACGTTCCAGCTCAGATTCCACCAAAGAAACTCTGAAGATCTCAAACATTTCTGTTGATTAACTAAAACTGTTCAAACTGTGAGGAGATGCAGCTTCATCGTGTTCACGGAAGATTCATTCAGTGATAGTTTTGCAGTTTCAGCTGCAGATAAAAACAAAAAATGACGTTTCCACCAAATCTTCACCTAAAATGTAATTTACATGATAATGATTTAATAACTAAAGATTGTTTTCATGGTTTATTAATCTGTGGATTGTTTTCTGGACTAATCGATCAGCTGTTTGCTCCCTAAAATGTCAGAAAAAGAGGAAGCGCGGCGCCACAACTCAAATATCTTCAGTTTCATGTCACAGAGGAGGAAATAAGTGCATTTAACACTGAATCACAGAATTTATGAGATCAGTGACTGAGCTCAAAATCCTGAAGTGAAACAAAATCAAGTTTTTGAGCTTATTTTATTAAATCAACACAACTTGAATTTAGTTTTAAATCAGTTGACGCAGAAAGTTAAGTTGATGCAACATCATCATATCAAATGAAAATAATGTTTGTGATTAAATCTAGTTCAATAAATCAGGATTTATTTTCTTTCTACAACAGTTCATTTAATTAAGCTGCGAGAACAGACGCCTCAATTGCTTTTTAATGATCAATAAAACAACAAAACAAGTTACTTTCACATTTTTATTTACACAAAAACTTGAGGACAACAGCAGAACTTTGCTCCGATGTGCGGTAATAAATGTACAAGAGTCAAGGCCAGATTCAGATTCACAGATTCACAGTGCAGCAGAACGAGGATCTAACTCAGTGAAAAGAGACGGTGAACAAACGTTGAGTCCAGAACGTGTAAAAAATAACAATATAGTAAAATAATATAAAGACTTTCCAGGTGTTGGTCTCAGATTTTCCTGCTGCAGTAAAAAAAAAAAAAAAAATGGAGGCAACAGTCGAGAAAAAGTCTGAAGTCAAACCTGTGCTACCTACAGACGCTTCAGTTCTACGATTCTTTGGTACATCAGCCGTATGTTTCATGGAAACCTTCAGAAAGAGGATCCAGAGTTTCTACCAAACTAAAGCTTCGTCACCACGACGGGACCAAGCGAGTCTCATTCACATCATGACAATATGTCACATCCAGCAGCTGAACGGGAAGCTAACAGGAAACCGTCCGGCTAAGAAGCTAACACCATCCAGAGTCTTTATTCTTTAGAAAAAAGTTCCTGTTTGAGTCTAAACGAAGGCGTCGACTCTGCCGAGGCCAGAGTCGGAAGGACTTCAGTGTCTGTGGGCTCCTCCTTCAGTGACACGGGTCGAAGGGATACCTGGCCACGCCCCCGTAGAGCTCCACCTCCGACTCCGCCCAGGCGATGACGTCGCCCCTCAGGTGGCTGCCGCAGGACGCCAGGCCGTAGATGTCGGCGGCGCTCAGGACATGCGACCACATGTGCAGGTCGGACATCTCGCCGATGAAGGACTGGGTGGCGTCGAAGCGTCCGCCGAGCGTGTCCTGGAGACCAACACAGCGTTAGCGACTTAACGTTAGCAGAACGTCCAGTAAACACAAAAACACTGAAAACCTGGCAGCAGTGGAAGGCGGCGGGAAAAAGGTTCTTAAGAAGTAGATCCCTGTCACGTTTTAAATCTACAGAAATAACAGCAAATGTTTTAGCTGTTATTTTAGTGATTTTCTTTGATGTGTTAAAAAATGAAGGAAAAAGTGATTTATGCTGAATTATATAAAAATAAAAGCCGCACTGAAGGATGTGAACTCAGAGTGCGTCCGACTCTGAGGTTGAATTCTAGAAGGTTTCCAGAAGGTTTGAAGCCCCTGAATGTTAACTCCTGAGTCGTTTACCTGCTCCTGGCCCAGGATGAAGACACCTCCCGGCCTGATGGGGTGCCACGGCGACAGGTTCATCCCGGACCCCCGCAGCACCCCGTCCTGGTAGGCCTCCCACTGGCCGTCCCGGGTCGACCAGGTCACGCAGACGTGGTGCCACTTCCCGTCGCTCAGGGACAGCGGCAGCGTCGCCGTCTGTGGAGACAAACATCGCCTTTAACATACAGAACCTGCAGAAACATCACCTACAAGAGGGTAGAGTCGTGTTCTACTGCCCCCTGCTGGACGCTGGCTGTTGCTTCAACAGATCATTGTCCTTTTAAGAGTTTTAAGTTAAGTTTAAACTGGTCAGATTATGGCACGAATAACCACAAAGAACAGTAAAATAATTATATTTTAGTGTATTTAAATACAGTAATTTTATAGTCACACACGGTAAACCAACACAGTGGACATTATTTACAGTTTTGGCCTGATTTTTACATCCAACATGTAAATTAATCTTTTTTTTTCTTCTTCAATTCTTAATATACATATTTTTTCTTTTAAATAACTGCAAATATCTGTTAAAAAATATAGCATCAATTTTATGAAGAAAACAATTCACCATTTGTAAAAAAAATAAATAAATAAATACAGATTTTTAAAGTTGACATTATTATTATTATATATTATTATCTACAGTTTAAATCTATTTTTCATTTTATCTGATCAATATAACAAAACAATGAAAATCTTTTTTTTAACTGTGAATTGCTCAAAGAAGTTACCATTAAAAATATTTTTAAAAACATAACAAATAAATTAATAAATAAATGTAACAAAATATTATATTTATTTATATTTGCATATTTAAGCAGATTTAAATACAATAAACTGTATAATGACCGTCACACATTATAAAAGAACAAGTTCCTGATTGCTCATTTACTCATTAATGATGCTGTTTACAGGTTTGGGATGTTTTAGTATTTTAGTTTTTTTTTTACAGTTAACATGTAGCTGGAAGCTTCTTTTTTCATATTTTTACTAGTTATTGTCTGTAATTCAACAAAACAGGGAAAATCTGTAAAACAGCAGTTAAATACTCAACACCTAAAAACTTTATTTTTTCCAGTGTGACGTGGTGATCGTCTGGAGTTTCTGTGCGTCACCTTGTCGTCGATCAGCAGCTCTATGGGGTTGTTGCCCCACTCGATCAGAACCAGCTCGTTGGACTGTCCGGGCGCCGAGTAGGAGAACGGGGTTCCCAGTCCGGGTCCGACTCCGGCCTTTATCCACAGACACAGCGTCAGAGCGAAGATCTCCTGCAGCAGCGTCCTCTTCAGACGGCCGTACATGTAGTTGGTCCTCATGGGGAAGCTGATCTGGAAGGCGTCCGGACTCTGAGGCTTCTTCCTGCTAGAATCTGGTCAAAGAAAGACGGCGTCAGAACATCTACGGCTCCATTTAGTGGTGAGATCTTAGAGGCTCCATCAGCTGAAAATCAAGCTTTTTGCTTCAAGATATTTTTCCACCCAAGATGTCCCGTCATGAGTAAAACAATCAGTCGTCTGCATAGCGGAGCGTTTCTACCTTGAACCTGCAGCATATTGATGATAAAAACAGGTTCCAGAGTTTCGTACGTAACAAACCTAAAGAACTAATGCCGTCTGTTTGTAGAATGAGGCTTCCTGAATCATTATTCTTCTTCTGAACCACTTTTATGTAGAACAGTTTTATGGAAAACTCCGGTACAGCGGTATACAGTTACATCAGAGAACTTTTAAGACATAAAGGGTTTATGTTCACGAAAAAAAACCCTCCAATTAATTAACTTTGATCCACAGACATGTGTTATTAGGGGTTAAATCTCTTAGTGGTCTTAATATTTTAGTATTTCTGGATTTAGTTCATTAGAGATTGATCCTACAGGTTCTGTTTGTGTTGTTAAATTAACTCGATGTTACCAAAAATAGAGAAAAGTACATTTAAAATGAGCCAAAGAAGAGAAAACATTTTGGTGTCACTACTGTAACCTGGTTCTCTGGGTTTCTGCTCCTTCACGACGAGCAGGAATCGGACCTTAAGCGTCTGGACATTGAGCCGTACCTGTGAGGTAAAGCTGATTCAGTATCGTCTCCAGCTTGTTGGACCTCGGTCCCGGTGTTCTGTATCCCGTGTGTGGAAGGTAGCTGTGGCTGTCGGCTTCGTTGCTATGGTGATCGCTGCCGTCGTCATCGTGGTGGTGGCCATCGTCATGGTCACCATCTGCATCGTGGTGGTCGTCGTTGTGGCTGTCGTCATGGTGATCTGAATGGTCGCCGTGGTGTTCGTCGTCACTGTCGTGGTGTCCGTCGTGGTGGTCGTCTTGGTGGTCGTCGTGGTGTCCATCGTCATCATGGTGATCGTAGTGGTCGTCGTGGTGTCCATCGTTGTTGCCATGGTGATCGTAGTGGTTGTTGTCATGGTGTCCGTCGTCGTCGTCGTCGTGGTGATCGTGGTGGTCTCCGTCGTCTCCGTGGTGATCGGCACCGCTGAGGGCGGAGGTGTGGCGGTGCAGCTGCTCCTCCAGGGCGCCGATCTTCCGCTGCAGGAGCTCCTTCAGGGAGCTCGAGTACGAGGTGGACGAGTTCCTCTTCTGCCGGGAAAACAGAAACAGGTCAGACAGAAGCATCGAACATCACTTTGTATGTCACAAACGCTGTGTCCTCTCTGCAGGTATCTCTGGTTTCACATTGGATCAACAGATCTGCTGCTAGCTAAAGGGCTAACTAGCTGCTAGCTTTAGCTTCCTCAGCGACAGAACAGATGTTATTTGAGCCCAACAGCTGGTTAGAGTTGTAACATCACGCCTTAAAAACTCACGGCGGCTGTTTTTTCCTTCAGATCGTTGTGAAAAACCTGTGAGGAACTAATCTGCAGCCTCACCGATGTTCTCTCAAACTCAGACTGGTGGTACCAGACTAAACCCTACCAACAGTAAGAAACAGGATTTTTGAGACGGATTCTAAAAACAGTTAAATGCTTTAAAGGCCAACATTTGTTCCAAGTTGTTGGTTTTGCTTTTAATGTTTAAGCAGCACAGCCAGCCTGCTGTAAACCTCCAAAAACAGTTTGCTTGATCACAGTGAACCCTTTAAGTGGACCTTCATTCATTCATTCATTCATTCATTCATTCATTCATTCATTCACAAAAACAAAAGTTCAGTCAACATGATCCCGGACGAGCCCCCAACTGTGTGTTAATGGAAATGGTCAAACTGACATGATTTTATTTCCTTGTAATCCTAAAGCTGAATAACGAGCAGAACCTGTGATTTTCTTTACAACACGTCATAAACACTAATGATCTGATGGTCTGTAGCAATAATGTGGTTAGAGGCACATTTTAGCGCCGGTCCTTCAGTGGATTCTCACATCAAACCTTTTAAACTGTAAGATGTGAACATGAGGATCTGGACGTGAGGAGTCGTGTTGTAAACGTGATGATTTCATGCTGTGGTGGTCACATGCCGTCTGTCCGTCTCACTGCGTCTCTCTGTCCTCCTCCTCTCAGGTAATCCAGCTTTGTGGCCTCGTTACTGTCTGTCAGCGGAGATCACGCTAAGTCCTGCTGATCTCGGACCCCCTTCAGCCGAACGCTGACATCTGTCTGTGGTCACGATGCAGCAACGAGAGCTCCAGGAAGGACGAGGCTGACGGTGAAACGTCCAGGTAACGTCCAGATAACCTCAAAGCAACCCATCGGCCCTGACTGTCTTCCTCTACATGAGTAACCGTGAGCGCTGCTGACGGACGTCAGAGTCTCTGCTGCCAGAGTCTGATTGGATTCATCAGATTAACTCCTTTGTTGCTTCTTTGTCTAAAAGAGCTGCAGCTCAGACAATAAAACTATCAGACATCAGTGACGACAGCCGATGTGGACAAACACAGAGGAGGCACAGGAGGACACAGACAGACACACAAACAAACAAACAAACAAACAAACAAACAAACATCCTCCATCCAACTGTCCTTCAACCGAGTCAGAGCACACCTCTGTTTAATTACACCTGTTGTTTGTTTGTTTCTGTTTTTCTTTCGTTCTTTCCCTGTTGTTTACCTGCAGGTTGTCCTGTTTATTTGTTTGTCTGTTTGTTGTTGTTGTTGTTTACCTGCAGGTTGTCCAGCCTCTCCTTCAGCGCCTGCAGCATCCTCTCCATCTGCTCCGGCGATGAGGAGATGTCTCCCGGCGTCCCGTGCTTGTCCTTCTGCTGGCGGCCTGCTCCTCCGTCGGACCGGTGGCCTCCCGCCGAGGAGGCATGGTGCGGCGAGTCGGGGATGAGGTTTCCGTGGTGACCCTTCTGGTTGCCGTGGTGGCCGTTGTCGGGGTAGGTGCGGTGGTGCGGGGCCGAGCCGTGGTGCTCGTCGTGGCCGTGGCCGAAGCCCTCGCACAGGCTGAGCTTGGCGGTGAGCTCGCGTATGGTCTCCCTCTGGTCCAGGATGGTCTCCTTCTGCTGCACCAGGCTCTCCCTCAGGTGGAGGATGGTGGCCTTGGCCTCCTCGCTCGCCCCCCACCAGCCGGCAGGAGGCGCATTCTGATGCCCTGCCGCTGCCCCACCACTGCCCGGTCCAGCCGCCGGAAAACAGGAAGGGTCGGCGTCCACGGGGATGGGGGTGCACAGGAAGCGGGGGTGGGCCGTGGCGTCGAAGTCAGAGGTGGAGGCTGCAGGATGGAGCAGCAGGAGCAGCAGCAGGAGGAGCAGAGGGGTCCTCAGGAGGCCCTCCATCGGTCAGCAGCACTGAGGAGTTGGGCCTCACTTCAAAAGACGTGAAGGTTGTGGTGACTTCTGAGCTGTTGTGAAGGAGGCATCAGGCAGAAACGCTCCACAGATCTCCATCCACAGAGGCTCCAGGCATCAGAGGCGCTTCACCTGCTTCTCTGTCAGTGAAGGAACCTGCAGAACAAACCAGCAGAGGTCAGACAGAGGATCCCCAAAGGACGGACGCAGTGGTAGAACATCAAAGAGTTAACAGGAAGGAGAAGGACAAAATCCAAATGAGATCTTCTTCTGTTAGCTTGTTGAATAATAATAATAATAATAATCTGTGTTTATAAGTCATGAAACCATCAGGAGTTCATAAACCAGCACAGTGTTGAAGAAGAAAAGAACTCGTGTAGAAGGAAAGTCTGACAGAAGAAGACTATCCGTCACTTCAGCCCATGTTTGTATCTTCAGGTAAACAGGATGTGATGAAGGTTGACCTCCTCACTGGGACACTCTGGCTCCAGTCCACCCCAATACAGCTAGTAGTGTAACTAGTAGTGTAAATAGTAGTATAGCTAGTAGTATAGCTAGTAGTGTAACTAGCGTAACCTTGCATGTCCGAGTCATGTGCCAGAGCCAGCAGAGCGTGTCCAGGTGAGGATTAGTCCCAATCAGAGGTGTGACATCCTGACCCAACCGGCCAACAAGCTTGTTGTCGCTGCGTTGGGTGTGACTCACTTCAGAGGATTTGGATTCGTACAAACGTCAGCGGTGGTATTTATATTAAACCGGTGCGTTTATTGGATGAATGTGGTGGATAATTAACCTCCTGAACCCCAAAACAACAACAAGAAAGACACAATTCATCAGCCAGGAGCTGATTTAAACCTTCATTGAACACGTCATGACTGA